GCTTAGGCCTGCTCCCAGGTGGCAGAGGGCAGGCCCAATCCCTAGGTGCAGCCCCTGGTCGGGCTCAGAGCAGGGCCGATTGGGGAGTTGGGGCGCCGCCCCGTCATACACACAGCAGGGCGGATCGGGAGGTTGCGATGCCACCCTCAATCATGCTCAGGGTAGGGCCTATTGGGGGGTTGGGGCACCGCCTCGTGTCACACTCAAGGCAGGGTCGATGGGGAGGTTGCGGCACCACCCCGTCATGCACAGAGCAGGGCCGACCAGGGGGTTGGGGAGCTCCCCCCTGTCACGCACAGAGCAGGGCTCATCAGGGGGTTGAGGAGCTCCCCCGGTCACTCACAGAGTAGGGCCGATAGGGGAGTTGGGGCACTGCCCCCTATCACACACAGAGCAGGGCGGCTCAGGGGGTTGGGGCGCCGCCCTCTATCACCCACAGAGCAGGGACGATCAGGGGGTTGGGGCACCGCCACTGTCACACTCAGGGCAGGGCCGGTGGGGAGGTTATGGCTCTACCCCATCACACACAGAGCAGGGCCCGTGGGGGGGAGGGGTTGGGGCGCCGCCCTCTATCACCCACAGTGCAGGGCCTATGAGGGGGTTGAGGCGCCGCCACTCTCACACTCAGGGCAGGGCCGATGGGGAGGTTATGGCTCTACCCTGTCACACACAGAGCAGGGCCTGTGGGGGAGGGGGGGTTGGGTCGCCGCACCCCGTCACACACAGAGCAGGGCCCGTGGGGGGGGTGTTGGGGCGCCGCACCCCGTCACACACAGAGCAGGGCCCGTGGGGTGTGGGGGTTGGGGCGCTGCACCCTGTCACACACAGAGCCACAGGGCGATCAGGGCGTTGGGGAGCTCCGCCCATCAGGCACAGAGCAGGGCCGATCAGGGGGTTGGGGCACCTTCCCCTGTCAGGAAAAGAGCAAGGCCGATGGGGAGGTTGTGGCCCCGCCCCCTGTCACACACAGAGCCGCAGGGCAATCAGGGGGTTTGGGCGCTGCCCCCTGTCACGCTGATCCCGGTGCCTGGAGGCCTCGGGGCTCCGCTGATCCCGGTGATGGGAGGCATATTACCCTTTTAGTATATAGAATAGAGGCCTGGTGCATGGGTGGGGGCTGGCTGGTTTGCCCTGAAGGGTGTCCTGGATCAGGGTGGGGGTCCCCACTGGGGTGCCTGGCCAGCCTGGGTGAGGGGATGATGGCTGTTTGCAGGTGGTCACACACCCTTCAGGGTGGGGGTCCCCACTGGGGTGCCTGGCCAGTCTTGGTAGGGGCTGAGGGCTGTTTTCAGGTTGGGATTGAAGCTCCCAACTGCTCCTTTTTTTCTTTTTCTTTTTTATTCTGGGCCAGCTTTAGCTCTGGCTCCAGCTCTGAGGCCTCTGCTGCTGAAAGAAGGTATCTGGTTTGTTTAGGTTCTATAATCGAAGCAATGTATAACTCCAGCTCTGAGATCCCAGCTCCCTGAAAGCTGGTTTCTGGGGTTTTGTTTAGCTTCTATATTTGTTACAATGTTTCTTAAACTGCAGGCTCAGAGGCCAGCAAGGCAGGCGGGGAACGTTGGAGTCCTCTGACACTGAAGCAAGCAAGCCTCATGTTAGTTTCAAGCTGCCTGGCTGCCGGCCGCCATCTTGGCTGGCAGTTAATTTGCATATCTCGCTGATTAGCCAATGGGAAGGGTAGTGGTCGTACGCCAATTACCATGTTTCTCTTTTATTAGATAGGATGTAACATTAAAAGGACACTGCTGAAAACTACAGGCCATAGCTAAGTATTTCGAAAGAGAACATTAGATATTTCATTGAAAATCAAACTTTACGAAGTGATATAAATGCTTAGGGAAATATATTATACTAGAGGCCTGATGCACGAAATTAGTGCGGGGGGGTGGGGGGAGGGTGGGTGGAGGTTGTCCCTCAGCTTGGCCTGCACCCTCTCTCAATCCGGGACCTCTCAGGGGATGTCTTACTGCCGCAGTCGCACATCTCTTGCAATCCGGGACCGGTGGCTCCTAACCACTCGCCTGCCTTATTGCCCCTAAACGCTCACCTGCCTGCCTGATCTCCCCTAACTGCTCGCCTGTCTGCCTGGTCACCCCTTACCACTCGCCTGCCTGCCTGATTGCCCCTAAACGCCTCTGCCTGCCTGCCTGATCACCCCTAACTGCCTCTGCCTTCCTGCCTCATCACCCCTTACTGCTCGCCTGCCTGCCTGATCGCCCCCAACTGCTCTCCTGACTGCCTGAGCACCCCTAACCGCCTCTGTCTCAGCCCCTGCCATGGCGGCTTTGTCCAGAAGGTTGTTCGGCTGTCCGGTCTAATTAGCATATTATACTTTATTATTATTGATTTTACTTCTCTTTGACCTTGATGAACATTTTGGTCGTACCATAACTATTTGAGAATGCCATATTTTGACAAGTTGATGGGTTTTCCTCCTATGTGAAATGAAACTATTAAATTAGAATTATTCGCCCTAACCGGTTTGGCTCAGTGGAATTCAATTAAATTGATGTTTAGTCCCCAAAACATATAAATTGGTCAAAAGATTACAGTGTGTGGCCCTGGCCAGGTAGCTCAGTTGGTTAGAGCATCTTCCAGATATGCCAAAGTCAGAGGTTCAATCCCTGTTCAGGCCACATACAAGAATCAACCAATGAATGCATATATAACAACAAATTGATCTCTCCCCCCCCCCCCCCTTTTCTCTCTCTAAAATCAATGAAAAAAAATTTTTTTAAGTAACACAATACTTGTAAAATCTCAAGGTTTGAAATATTCAGGGCACCTAATCCAGAGTTAAATGTACAGAAAATCTCTGTGACTTTGCAAAAAGGATAGCTCCCTATAAATCTGTGTGTGCGGTTGTGGTGAGAATGGTAGTTCCCCTAGTTCAGTTTGAAGCCTCAAGTGAACTCAGTCTGGAATTTTCAAAATAGTTTAACTAAATATGGTAATCAAATCAGATGTTTATAAATACTACAAGGCATATTTGGCCTCTGTGGGTGAAAACCCTGGTTCAAACCTGCATTATCTGCCTATACCACTCAAGCTGAACTATTTGCTACCAGATCTGACAGCCTAGAGCAAAACAACACTATTTTAACCCAGGTCAGAGAAGCCTGTTTACAGTCAACATGATCATATTTTCTCCTTAAGAGTTCCAACAAGAGAAACAGTCAATCCCTTAAGGACATTTAACTCCACCCCAAAGGCAGAAAAACCTGACCTTTAAAAAATACTTTCTTCTTCCAGCCAACCCAGTAATTTAATTTTTTGGAGTCAAATAGATTTCTTTGAAAATCTGATGAAATAAAGGCCCATACTCCTCAGACAAGAAAGCAAATATGTACAAGTACTTTTTAAAGATTTTTAATTGATTTTGAGAGAGAGGAAGGGAAAGGGAGAGAAATACCACCGGAGATCAAGCATGCAACCTGGGCATGTGCCCAGATCAGGAATGGAACTGGCAACCTTTCAGTACATGGGGTGACGCCCAACCAATGAGCCATACTGGCCAGGGCAATATAGAAGTATTTTATACAATGGGAGAGTAGTAAGGGAAATCTAGAGTTTATTAAGCACTACTATGCGCTTAGTGTTTGGCCTATTGACAGCTGGAAAAACAGGAAACAAAACACACTGCCCTTCAGGAGGTTATATGTGCCAGGGATACAGGCAGATTTCTTCATTCTTTCAATTTTACAGAAAGAAAAAATGGTTTTGACCTAGATGCCAAGAAAATAAACTGCTTTACCTTTATATTTTTCCTGTGAAAGCCTTAAGTCTTCAGTATAACAAGGTGGGGGGAGGAAGATAAAGGAACCAGAGTAAGAAGAGAATCAGTACTAATGACTGGACTTACTAGAGTATCTGGAGGGCATTGTACTTTTCCACTATATCAAGTTTTCCTACAGTAAAAATTAAAGCAGCAGTGATAAATGTTCAAAAAGCTCACTGTTCTGTAAGAATATTGAAAGATTTCTTGAAATTCTCCACAGATGCTATTTTTGACACCCCTTTTTATTTTGTGATTAGCACAAGAACCACTGAAATGAAAAAACAATCCACTCTTCTTAGTGCATATTAGGTTAAGAATAAAATGCAAAGGTATTTTCAAGGAAATGGAAAAATCAAAGGAAAAAAAGCATCATATTACTCATCTAAGACTATTCATAAGCCAGTGAGCTTTAGTCAGGGAATTTTCCTACTATGTACTTCAAAAAGAAGTAGACTTAGTTCTCTAAATTATGCAGAGATTAAATTGCAGCCTCAAGCTTCCTTTTCTGAAAAACCTATTGGCAATATGATTCTTAAATGCAAGGACCCTAATTTCAGAGTATCTATTGGCAGGACAATCGGAAACCATTTTTTTCTCTCATGTTATAAGCCTTTAGACGCCACAATATTCTCCTGAGAGACTTTTGCACTCCTTCCTGCCTACAAACTTGAAGGTATGGCTCGACAAACATTAATGTGCAGACTGATGGGAGATCAACCACACAATTCATTGTGACAGGAGACTCCTCCAAAATGAAAATTAACAGTTCATGAAAACGAACGACCTCAAAAAAGTGGAAGCAGCTCTCTCCACTCAGCACCCTTTTCTTTCGCGTATTGTAAACCCTTCCATCAGAGTTAAAAACCAAGTGAAAAGGTATTTTCAACCCTTGCATTCAATTTGCATTTCAATCCTTGTTTTCAACTCTCTGCTCTACCAAGAACAGCAAATACCATGGTTAAATAGGGAGAGACAAAGCAAGACGCAAAGAACGTTCGAGGAGGCGCCCGCAAAACTCAAGCAGAAGTCACGAGTTCCGAGGTTATTCCCGGATTAGCCAGACTCCCTCCTGCAGACAAACCACCAGGACACCGAACCTTGGGGCAAAGGACGCTCCTTCGGCATCTGGGCTGGCAAGGCCGCGCCTTCCCTGAGCCGAGCTCCAGACCATCACCCCGGGACCGGTTCCGCAACTTCGCGAGGCCCAACCCCAGCCCCTCACCTGCTTTTGCACGTCAGCATCGCTGAGGGCCATAGTGAAAGCAATGCTAGGCCGGTGGGCAACTAGCTCGAGCTTAGGCCTGAAGAGGATGGTGGAGAAGAGGGAAGGAAACCCTGCGCAGGTTCCTCTTCCCTTTGCTTTGTAATCCCAGGTTCCGGTTCCTGTCAAGTGACCGCGCAGCCGAGACACGTGAGCCTTCTCAGCCAGTAGGAAAAGAGCAGGCCACCGAAAGTCCCGCCCCTGCCCCCTCCATAGCTAAGCACTTGACAGGGGCGCGGCCTGTGCTGTTAACATTTGCGGGTAATTTCTCCGTGCTGTTTTCCTCAACAGCTGTCAAATCAATGAAAGAGAGGGAAGATCAGGATCTGGCATCTGAAGTTAGTGAAGCTGTGTGAATTTCCCCAGCCTTACAGCCCTTGCAGTTTTTTATAAACATTTTAAATATTTTGCCCGTTTGGCTCAGTTCATAGAGCATCCTCCTGCGGACTGAAGGGTCCCCTGGTTGATTCTGGTCAAGGGCCCATGCCTGGGTTGCCGGCTCCATCCCCAGTGGGGGGCATGCAGGAAGCAGCCGATCAAGGATTCTCTCTCTTCATTGATGTTTCTATCTCTCTATCCTTCTCCCTTCCTCTCTGAAATCAATAAAAAAAATACTTTTAAAAAGTTTAAATATTTTATTTATACAAAAACATAATTTAGTATTTTACTTTCTTGGTCTTAATGAAAGGAAACTCGATAATACTTATTAATAATTTTTTTTGTTAATCCTCACCCAAGGATATTTTTCCATTGATTTTTAGAGAGAGTGGAAGGGAGGGGGAGAGACACAGGAGAGAAGCCTCAATTGGTTGCCTTTGCATGCTCCCCACCAGGGCCAGGGATCATGACTGCAACTGAGCTACAGGTCCCAGGGCCAACTGCTCCATCCATTGAGCCAAACAGGCTAGGCTATTAATAGATTTTATTTAAAGTTATAGAAAAATTAAGCAGAGCAGAGAGTTATCAGGTAGATACCTTTGTCACCCTCAGACAGTTTCCCCTATTGTTTTTTGGCCACAAATATGAGAGTTTGTTTTCCAGTTTCCCCAGTTATTAACATCTTACATTAATGTAATGTATTTGGCATAGTTAATTAACCAATATTGGTGTATTAACTAATGTCAATAATTTATTTGGGTTTTCTTACTTTTAATCCAATGCCCGTTTCTGTTCCAAGATACTACATTTTGTTTAGTTATGTCTCCTAAGTTTACTCTTGACTGGGACAATTTCTCAACCTTTCCTTGTATTTGAAGACCTCGGAAGTTTTGAGGGTACTAATTAGGTATATTGTAGGATGCACCTCTATTGGAAATTTTCTCACGATTGATTGTGAGTTATGGGTTTTTGGTAAGAAGATCACAGATGTAAAAGTGCCATTTTTATCATGTCATATCAAGTATTCATGCTGTCAACATTTTTTATGACTTCCTTTTCTTTTTTGTTAATCCTCGCCCAAGGATATTTTTTTCCATTGATTTTCTAGAGAGTGGAAGGGATGGAGAGAGAGAGAGAAAAAAAAAGAGAGACACATAGGTTGGTTGCCTCCCACATGGCTGGGACCCTTGGCAGTGGCCGGGGATTGAATTGCAACCCAGGTAATTGCCCTTGACTGGGAATCAAACCCAAGACCCAAGATGAAACTTAAGATAATTGCCCAACTATAGGCTAATGTAAATGTTCGTGGACCGATGACACCAACCACTGAACTACACCAGCCAGGGCTCAACATCATTTTTTACTATTGATGTTGACTGTGATGGCCTGGTTGATGTAGTTTTTGTCAGGTTTCTCCACTGTAAAGTTACACACACACCCTTTACTGTACTCTTTAGAAGGAAGTACTAAGGAGTGAGGAGTCATGCTCCTCATCCTTTAGGGTGGAGTATCAACATAGTTTATTTAGAATTCTTCTGAATGGCTCTATGCATTTTTTAACATCATTCCCAAAACCCACTTAGAGGGACTTATTCAGAAAATTAGGGCAGAAATTCCTCCAGTCTTGTTTGCTTCAAACTCCCATTTTTTCCCCCAGCTACAGAAGCAAAGACTTGAAAAAGTTATTTTTAGGATAGACTCCTAGTAGTAGACTTAAAGGATTCAAACATTCTTTTTTTTCAAAATCCTCACTGCTGACATGTCTTTGTATTGATTTTAGAGAGAGGAAAAGAGAGAGAGAGAGAGAGAGAGAGAGAGAGAGAGAGAGAGAGAGAGAGAGAGAAACATTGATCTGTTTTCTCCTGCACCCATGCTCCAACTGGCAAGCAAACCTGCAACCTGGGTATGTGTATGTGCCCTGTCTGGGAGTAGAATCCAACACCTTTTGGTGTACGGACAACACTCCAACCAACTGAGTCACACCTGCCAGGGCATACACACATTTTTTAAAATATGTTTTTATTGATTTTTTTTTTTTAGAGAGAGAGAAAGGGAGAGGGAGACGGAGATAGAAACATTGATGATAGAGAAACATTAACATCAATTGTCTGCCTCCTGCTGGGGATCTAGCCCAAAACTCCAGCATGTGTACTGATTGGGAATCAAACCGGTGACCTCTTAGTGCATGGGCTAATGCTCAACCACTGAGCCAAACCGACCAGGTGCTCACACATAATACTAGCTTTTTATTTTGAAGAAATTTCAAATACAGTAAGTTGTAAGAATAGTACAATTTTCTTCACCTAGATCCACCAATTGTAAACATTTTGCTATATTTGCTTCATCACTTTTCATACACTGACAGTTCTCAACTTACAATAGCTAGACTTAAGTTTTTTTTTTTTACTTTATGATAATGGGAAAGCAATATGCTTTTAGTAGAAACTGTTCTTCAGATTTTAAATTTTAATCTTTTCCCAGGCTAGTGATATGCAATACGAGGTGTGATACTCTCTCATGATACTGGGCACTGGCAGTGAGCCACAGCTCCCAGTCAGTGCTAAGATCAGCAGGATAAACAATGCAGGGGTGGAAAGTGCCCAGTATGAGACCTGAGAAATCATTTGGTCTGGCCCTGCCGAGTAATTAGGGGTGAGTTAATTAAATGTTTGACCAAATGTAACAGGCTAATTTTTAAGTTGATAATTTTATATGGCCCATGAATCCTATATAGTAAAACCCCAGCGACTGAATGGCAGAATGACCAGAACGACTGGTCCACCAGTCACTATGATGCGCACTGACCACCAAGGGGCAGATGCTCAACACAGGAGCTTCCCCCTGGTGGTTAGTGCACTCCCACAGTGGGAACACTACTTAGCTGAGTAGGATGAGCGGCGCTCCCACAGCGGGCGATCCCTGCTGGCCATGCCCCCCACCAGTGCATGAACTCATGCACTGGTCCTCTAGTGATGTTATAAATATTCAAATGGCCCTTGGAAAAAAATTTCCCACCCCTGGATAGAGACAACCCTTTAACCAACCAAACTATCTAGCCAAGTCCTGATAATGACATTTTTGAAGAGTACAAAACATTTGAAGAGGCCAGTTCTAGAAAATCCCTCAAGCCCTGGCTGGTTTGGCTCAGTGGATAGAGCCTCTGCCGGAGGACTGAAGGGTCCGGGTTCGATTCTTGGTCAGGGCACAAGACCAGGTTGTGGCCTCGATCCCCAGCAGGGGGCAGCCATAATTCTCTCTTATCATTGATGTTTCTAACTCTTCCTCTCTGAAATCCTATATAATAAAGAGGGGATAGGTTTCATCACTCCAACACACAAGATAGCTGCTCCCATGTGGTCAAAGATGGCCACCTCAAGATGGCCAGCAGGGGAGGGCAGTTGGAGGCAACCAGGCCAGCAGGGGAGGGCAGTTGGGAGGGACAAGGACTGCAGGGGAGGGCAGTTGTGGGGGGACCAGGCCTGCAGGGGAAGGCGGTTGGGGGGGCAGGGACCAGGCCTGCAGGGGAGGGCAGTTGGGGTGACAGGGCTAGCAGGAGAGGGAAGTTAGGGGCAATCGGGCTGGCAGGGGAGCAGTTAGGTGTCGATCAGGCTGGCAGGGAGTGGTTAGGGGGTGATCAGCTGGCAGGCAGAAGTGGTTAGGGCAATCAGGCAGGCAGGCAGGCAAGCGATTGGGAGTCAGCAGTCCTGGATTGTGAGAGGGATCCAAGATTGAAGAGGGTGCAGGCTGGGCTGAGGGACACCCCCCCCCAGTGCACAAATTTCATGCACTGGGCCTCTAGTCAATAAAAATATTTTTTAAAAGAAGAAAATCCCTCAAGTTGTTGTTTTTTTTTTTCTGACCATTTCCTCATAAGTTGATTCAAGTTATGCATTACAGAAAAACTACATGTGTATTGTGTCCTCAGTGAAGCACCTGTTGGTTTGTGCTTTTGATAGCAATGGTACACATTTTAAAAAATATTTTTATTGTTCTCAGAGAGGAAGTAAGAGGGGGAGAGATAGAAACATCAATGATGAGAGAGAATCATTGATTGGCTGCCTCCTGCATGCCCCCTACTAAAGATTGAGGCTGCAACCAGGGCATGTTGGAATTGAACCATGACCTCCTGGTTCATAGGTCGATGCTCAACCATTGAGCAACACTGGCTGGGCAATGGTCCACATTTTTAAGGCTAACAAATTGTTTTCCAGCTCTATTAAAATGTAATGTTCTTTTTTCTTTTAATATATTTTTTATTGATTTCAGAGAGGAAGGGAAAGATAGAAACATCAATGATGAAAGAGAATCATTGATTGGCTGCCTCCTGTACATCCCCACTGGGGATCGAGCCCACAACCTGGGCATGTGCCCTTGACCAGAATCGAACCTTGGATCCTTCAGTCCACAGGTTGATGCTCTATGCAGTGAGCCAAACCAGCTAAGGCTATAATGTTCTTTGTAGTGTATGACAGATTGGAACACATATTTGATAAAACTGTTAGTATTTCATAAGAGAATGATTAGGGCACAGGATGGTAAAACTTTAGGGCAACAGAAATCCACGAAATTGACCTTCTTTTGTTCAGTATTCTAATGAGCTGAGCTAAACCAGATGATAGGTTTCTCTCATCTTCCTAGTTTTTGTATTAATGACTTCATTCTTCACAATCCCAGAGACAGATTTCCTTCTTCTATCATTTCTAGGTCAGGATGAGGTGATACATATTCACTCTTTTGGATT